AGTTGTCCATAGTTCAAATAACTACATATATATATATACATTAAAATATAATCAATATGTTATGATTATAAAATACATTAAAAGCTTAATTGAAACAATATTCATGTGGTGAATTAAATACCATCAAATTAAAGCAACATATATTGGTAGGGTCAGTATTTTTAATTTATTGGTACTGGATCACAATTCTAATTTTTACTTACTGAGTTACTAGAATCTGATACTGGATCACAATTCTAATTTGTACTTACTGATTTACTAGAATTTGAATAGATTATTTTTATATGTCACGCAAATATAAAATTTATGTCGAATTCAGAATTATTACTGTAACAAATATCGAATATCGAATGGAAAAAATATAAATAGGAGAAAACAAACCTATGTACATAGAGGTTATAATCTTTTGACATGAGATGCTTTTGTAGAACATAAGGTTCTCCTTCCACATTTTTAGGAGCATTTGCAAATTGTTCATTTGATATAGCACAGGCCATTTGGATTGAACCACCACCAATATCAATTGTTGCTGTTGTACTTTTATAATTTTTGCCCAAATTTCCCAATAAATAATTCACTGCAACCTATTAATAAAAAAATATACAAAAAAATCAAAAGTTCATGATTAAATAAAGGAAAAATGATCAAATATTTTATCGAGCTTTAATTTGAGAAAAGACTTAGCTATGTCGTCTGATTAAAGTTTGGTTTATCTATGTCATTTTTATTAGAGAATAGACTCATTCGTGATATTATTTGTTAATTTAAAACAAATTTCAATTTATAATTTAGTTAATAAAGTAATAAAAAGAGGACTAATTTTTTCTAATTTAAATAAAAATAATTTTTTAAAGTTAATAATATATTTACTGCTTGTAGAATTTTTTCAGCTGCATCCCCTTTTAACATCCTCAAACCTGCTGTTGCCTATATCATTTAAATAATTCACATCAGAAAATAAAATTAATAACTCATTTTAACATATGTTTAATAATTAATATTAATCATCAATTAATTAATTAATTAATTAATACTAACCCCAAGCTCTAAGGGGGTTTCATCTTGTAATTCTTTAGGAACAACTCCTTCAGCTTCATCTAAAAGTGGCTCTAGTGAATTGGCTGCAGCCTTTGGATCTGTTTCATATGAACTTAATCCTGGATTTGTCTACAAAATCAAGATAAAATTAATTAAAATCATATCATAAGATTTAATATTATAAGTAAAAGATATATTTGAAATTTCGACTTTATGAATTCTAGAAAAAGATAATATTATACTACTCCCTCTATTCATTTTTCTTTGTCCATTTTGCTATTTCGAGATGTTTAACAATATTTATCCAGTTTATTAAATCAATAAATAATTTATTGTTTTGAGTCTATTTTAATCTACTTTTGCTATTAAATACTGTTCATTTCTCAATATTTAGATGACTTATATTTAATAAGGGTAATTTGGTAAAATTACCTCTATCATTTAATGTTTCTTAATCCCTTTATCATTTAAAAAAATTAATGCGCTCTCTCTCCACTTTTAGTTGTCATGATTTCTATTGTTAGAATCAAACTATAATAACTTTGAATAACATTTTAAAAAGTATTTTTTCATCATATCAAAAAATTGCAATTTATAGTACTCTTCATATAGTTTTTGAATATCTAAATTTTTTTGTCTAAAGTATCGAATGTAATCTAATTCAACTTTAAAAATTAGTCAAATTGACTTTCAAAAAACGCAACACGACAAATAAAAATGGACGGAGGGAATACAACAAGCTATATATTGCATTTGTTCGGAAACCGTGATAGTCTTTTCGAGGAGATTATCTAGAATAAAAAATGTGCCTGAGTTAAAAAACAACGAGAAAACTGACTTCTATCTGCTCTAGTAAATTGTATAGATAGATATCAAAACTATTTACAGATACGATATATAACTTAAAGATCCATAATAGTATGTCTAGTCATATATTTTGATATTTCAAAGATAATATTCACAGTTTATCACAAATAAAAACTTGTAAAAAAAAAAATATATATATATATACATACCTGCATGAAAAACTCAATATCACATTACCAATAGGAAGAAGTCCTAATTTTGATCAAATCGAAAAACATGAACTCTACTTCCAGTACTTCCAGCATCAAATATTACTGCATAATGTTCTGATTCATGACTTAATAAATGTCTTCTTAATGGAATTTGACCATTCACATTTTTGGATAATAAACTTAGGGGCAAAACCAAAAATATTGTCAAAATTGACAATATAAAATGACTATTTTGGTTCAACATTTTGCCCCTCTATTTGAAGAGATTTAATTTTCTGCATGAAAAAAAATAAAATAAACAAGTTATATAAATATATAAAAATCTATGTATTGATTGATAGTATAAAATCAATGGTAAGTACTTAATCTGCTATAACAAATTAAATTACATTGATAATGTTATGTTCTCTACTTTGCCAACATATTTAAATTAAAGATTTTCTGATGAACGTCTAGTTAAAATTTGACAGAAATTTCCAAGAAAAAAGTTATTGAAAACATTATTGGTGAGCTAAATTTCGATGAAATCCTAAATTTTAAAAATAAATTAGTGACTTCCTCGTACAACTAGCTAAATATGACTTAAAGAGGGAAGACACGAAGCAATTAATTTCTTTTTTATTTAAGTTTTGATGGACAATATTCATAAAATATATATAAAAAATTTTATAAAACTAATCGAGATGTACACGATATCGAGTGTGATCAGATAATCAAAAATCAGACAATGACAACGCGGCATACCAGAAAAAAAAGCAAAAAATAGGAACGAAGTAACTCCGAACATGAAAAGATAACCTAGAGAGAAATTAAGGGAGAGGGAGAGAGATACCCTTATATTGTGGGGTGAAGATGGTGAATCAAATGGTACATTTTGTGCTCTTATATAGACTCACATATATTAATATATATATATATATATCCAAAGAAGAGTAAGTCATGGATACATGTGATATTAATATCATACAATAAAATTATTTTAATTTTCATGATATTATTGTTTTGTCATTCCAATAAGATCAAATCTTTTAGTTCATATCATATCATCTATTAAAGAAAAAAAAACTAAGTGAATTGATACTTTTTGGTTTTCTTTATTAGATTCACATCAAAACTTGAATAGGTATTACTTGCTTTTAAATATTTTATTTTAAAGAATATAAATTCTTTTGAAATAAATACTACTATAATTTTACTTACATTACTTAGGATAGACATAGATAAACACTACTTTTTATGATTATGATATTTACACAACTAATTATGGTAAGTTAATATATATCAAAATTAAGGGGATATAGTTATCTATTATTGCAATAGGTTAACTTTGATGATATGATAAGGAACTTCTATGTTATTGACAACTAATATATCTTAATTTGATTTTGCATTTCTAGATATTCTTAACTTATTTTTACTGTGCGTGTTAGTAACGATCATCTCGATATCTTTTATGTGTTATTTCACCATTGAGTGTTCATATGACACAATAATCGAAAACAAGTTGAAATATTAAGTTATCAGTTGAAATCAAGTTAAAATATTTAAATATGTATTTTGAAAGTTTAAGTGCATACTTACCATTTCAACATTAATTAATTACCCTACATGTCAGTTAAATTACTTTAACTTATACAATTATCTTGATACCTTCGATAATAATTATGTGTCACTTTAGCACTAAATTACACGACAAATTAAAATATTTAATCGACAATTAATTTTAAATTAAAATATCTAAATATGCAGTATCAATTTAAAATATTACTTACCAGCTGTCATCAAATTTAACAATTTATTTCGTACTATATTTTGATATTATTAGTTACATACCGTACATTTAATATCACATGCACACTGCTTAGGATTTGTTTTTATAATACAAAGCATGTATCATGTGTATCCGATCGATAATTATAATTTATTCGATTTTAATTTATCGATCTAATTGATAAGATCAACTTAACATTAAAGTAAATTAATTATGATTATTAAAATCGAATCCGATGCGATCACTAGTGTTGGCATATATTATTTTAAATCTTTATTTTTATTAATAAATTGTTTCATATACTATTTTAATATCACATGTGAACCATATTTTCTAATTAAATCTTCACGCAATAATATAATATAATAAAAGGAGAATAAAGACTGTAGTTTTATTAGGTTTACGTTTTATGCATTATTATATTAACATATTTATATGTCTAACTTTCGGAATTCGATAAACAAATCTTTTATAAATTAGATTGAATTTTTAAACTAATATTATTGATGGTTTTAATTCTTTTAATATATGAATGATGCTTGATTAAAAAAATTCTTCTATAGAAAATAAGAAGACTGCGAATTACTCAACTAACAGGTTAAAAAATTGTATATTTACTTACGATAAGGGTGAATATCACTTAATATTTTTAAAAATTAAAATTTTTAAATGAGACGATTAAATTAGAATACTCATTAAAAAAAAATATACACAATCGCACAAATTACCCCCATTTAGTGGATCTCGTTAGTATGACATGATTTTATTTTATTTTTAATTACATTCAAATCAAGGTAATTAGTGTCAGAATTTTTTATATATTTATTTTCATATTTTATATCAAATATTACAAAAAATTACTTATAATTAATAATCAAACACATTCTAATAATCAAATCTACCGCGTGCTCACTACTTTTGATGGATCACATGAGATTTTAAATGTTTATTTTATTAAATTTATAATAATATAATAATGATACTTGAATTCGCGTTACTATAATAATCGAAAGTGCTTCCTAATAAAAATGACTGCAAACTCGATTATTATAAAGTTATCAAGGGAACATGCAAGGCTATAAACTAGACATTAATAAGGAAGAGTATGAATTTTAAGTTGATACGAAGTGAGGCGGATCTAGAATTTAATTAAAGGTACTTTTTATAAATAAAATAAAGTTTCTTACAAAATTTCAAACCCTCCAAATTAATAAAGATTCTACTTCTAAGATGTAAATATATCACTAAAGAGAAACATATGGAAATTTGCATGATCCATGACCTGTCAAAAATTGCCAAATCAAACCAAAAAATAAATAAATTATTAGTTTGTAATAACATGAACATATATAATAGAAGAAAAATCAACTAAAAATACATGATATTGATACTTCAAATTTGTTATATTTATGATTGTCTTGAATAATAGCGATTAGCAACCTAAAAAAATAAGGTAGATTATCTGCTACACTAATTTACATATACTAATAGCGCCGGGAAAAAAATTCTTTATATTGACAATGTATACAAGCTAAAGGATAGTATCTTTGGATGATTTAGTTTATCAAAATAGCCAACAAAGATATATGTTTTTGTATGTTTAAGTATAATATAAATATATTACACACACACACACACACACACATATATATATATATATGTTCTGTATATTATAGACAAACTGATAAATAAGTTTGACTAAAATGTATATATTGATATGTATTTCTAAGTTAAATCTGTTTATTTTTTTAATTTTCATTTGGTGTTTGACATCTGCCTTAGAGTCTGACAAAAACCGAATTCACATTGGGAAGTTCCACGTTAGAGGTAAAGCGCTCCCTAACAAAGATGATTGCGGGCTCAGGAGAACTCAAACTCAAACTCGAAAGCTCTGATTAAGGATAAAGGAGTATTTACCTCTGATTTTCAATTAATTGTTTCTATAAAGAATCTTATTTATAATTATTATAATAGTAATAAAGGAAAAGTTTAGGTTACTTACTTGGGTCAACATTGGTTTGAACAGCAAGCCCATTGAAATAACAAGTTTCACCATCTTCCCTATACTTGGCCCAATATGAACTAAATGCATAATTTGCATGTGATACAATAGATACAGGTTGATAACATGATTTTCCAGGAGAAATATCATCACAAGTTTCATTTCTCCTACATGCAAATTCCAAAGCTTGTCCTAAATCCATTTCATTCATAGTATCATTTGTCACCACACACCACAACTTCCCATGATATGGTCCATTATTTGTTGGTTGAGGTAAATCAATGAATTCAGTATCTAGGGTTTGTCCTGTCAAGTCGATATCGTACATCGGTCTACCATTAGGGTTTAACATACCCCAGTGCCTCTCTGTGCCCGGACCCTCCTTTTGATTTTCATCATAGAGAGAAAAAATAAACGTAGGTATTGCTAACCCTGGACGAGCTGGTGTCCCAATGGCTGGTTTTGAAACAATCCTACGTATGAGATTTCGATTGTACGTAGCTGCATTGTAGATATTAGCACCAATTTCATCATAATCGCCTCCATTAGGCCATCCGGTTTCAGCTATTGCCAGTCGGATGTTGTTAAACCCTAATTTTTGCATGGCGAAAACGACTGAATCAAGCATCTGATCCAATAGGTTTGTGTACACATAACCACTCACGGGGTCCACGTATGTTTGACTTCCTTGAAATAGTGCATAATCAAGACTTATAAAAGATGTATTTTGTGACCATGAAAAATAAGGGTAGGCATCAAGAAAAAAATATGACCTAGTCCAATTCAAGAATCTCAACAAAGGCATCAATATATTATTCCTTGATATATCTAACCTAAATTCACCACTCGAAGGTGGAAATGTTGTTTCCAATAGGTCCATAGCAAAAGGGGTACCAATTTTAATGTTGTGAATATTATGTTGATCGATAGAATTTCTAATATTATTCATCGCGGGTATAAGATCATACCATAAACCTTGATCGTCTTTGTTACTTAGGACTTCGTTACCTACTAAAATGTATCGAATCATGGTGTTTGGATAATATGGAAGAACGTTGTCGCGTACCCATTGGTTTGCAGCTGTTTGATTTGCTGCTACAACTGAGATTTGATTATTTGGTACCATGATTGAAACTTGAAGATTTGTACCTGATAATAATCTAAGTATTTCTGGATTTGCATCATAAATTTTTACTCTACCAGCTTTCATATTTTTCAATAATTCTATTGAATCATAGGGAGATGGCAAATTGTTTGCTACCCTTCCATAATTTACTCCAATAGGGCTTGCTCTACATACATCTACACCAACAAAAAAAAAACAATTAATTAGATGAAAAAATGTTTTAACCAATCAATAAATAGATAAATATAGGCACTAGGTATGAAATTCATCGTTGATCAATCGCTAAATAGCTTGTACCTAACATAATTTTTTGATGATATGTTGTTAAAATAGTGTTAAATAGGATTAATGATGATTTTTTTTAAAAAAATGTTTAGTAGATAGAAGTTGTTCGCTACTAATTCATATTATGTTTAGTGATTCAAGAAGATTGTAACGCCTGTTTCGTACGATGCAAGTCATTTTTCATGGCGTTACTTTAATTGTTGACTTTCGTCCTACGTGAGGAAAGTAATACACATTTTCTTGATTGAATATATCGAAAAATAAGAAAGAATATTTTTTTTATAAATGACTTATGTCGTATCAAAGGTATCGTAAATAAAAAAGGACAAATTATAATGGTTAGGATTTTGTTTGAGAGAATACTTACTTGAGAAAAGAAGAAAACAAAGCAAAGCAATAGCAAAAGTGACTTCCACCATGATTTTCTCTTTGAACATCTTAACCAAAATACCAAAAAAAAAAAATTCAACAAATTGGAATGTTTTATGTGAAGTGAAATCCCAAATTTAGATATGTCTTTAGAGGTAAAAATGAAGAGGGTTTTATATTGAGAGAATTTAGAGGAATAGTTGAACTACCAAAAATAGAAATTTGTTAGTAACTAAGTGAGACAAAGATTGTGTTAATCAAGAAAATGAGAATTTGAATATTGAAAAATTAAATGAAAGAATAAATCATGTATGATTCTTGAATTTTACACAAGTAAAAGTGAAAGGCAAAAGACTATGTGGATGCAAAAGAAGTGTAGGTAAAAAAACATGTTTATTTATTTCTCTTTTGTACTTCTTGTGTTGTAAAGTTGTATTTCTTTTAACAACAACAACAAGTGTAATAACAACAGATTCAATATAATCTTATGAGTAGAGTCTGAAAAGAATAGAATGTATACAGACATTATCTGGAGGTTCGACTTAATACTTTCAAAAGAATTCGATGTGTTAAAGTTGGGCTTCAATTTTGGGAGAAATATGTAACAAGAGAGGCCCAAATGAATATATGTAACAAGAGAGGCCCAAATTTGTGTGGCTTAAATTTATATTTTTACAACATATATCCCACAAGCTATGCTGTGCATTCTTGAAATATTTAGTTTCTTCTAGGCATAAGTTGGATTTTGAAAAACAAAAATTAAAGATCGGCCTATTTGATGCTACTTAAGTAACAAGTAATATACTCTCTACAGATATGATGCAGCGGACGAGGCTACTTCTTTTTTTAACTAGTTAAAGATTTTGAATTCGAATTTTGATTATGAAAAAAAATTGATAGATAATATTTTTTTTAATGATCCGCTACCTGATATAAATCTGAATTACTTGAACTTCACCGTAGATACTAAATACTAAATGGAAAATTTATAAGATGGCAATATAATAATAGAATGGAGTGATGATTATGACATTTTTCCATTGTTATTATTTTTCTAGTCCTTGAATCATGGCATTTTCTTGGCATAATTACATTATGGCCTTGCCATTGACAAAGATATTATTTGTGCATTAGAATAATGATTAATGTGGTTGCAAAGAAAATTTTATAATTAATCATGTTGTTTTGACCTTTGTACCTATTATACTATGGCAAATTTAATTAGAGAATAATTAAATTATGAGTTCGCGTTAATTCAGTATTTTAAATTTAAATTTAAATTCGCATTTTCATATTAATCATTCAAACTACCCCATGTGTAATGATTAATGTATGGATAATTACATGTGATCTTATGATAAAACAAGTATAGTCCCTTCTATTTTATGTACAAATAATTACTCTTGCAAATTAAATTAATTGTTTCTCTACTTAATAATAAGATTTTTATTTATTTCTTGCTAGATCTGGTTGTGGAATGTGAGTTTATTATTGCTTTCATCACTATATATTAATCTTTCATATTATTTTAATTATCATTATCAATCAATCAATTACATTTTAAGGTCAAACTAATTGTACGTATATTATATATATCAAGTCAAACTAATTAGCGCCGGTTATATGAATTCTCATTTCTCCATATTCATTTTTCACTATTAATAACAACCATTTGATTTACTCTTCAAAGATTGTGGTAAGTGAAAACATTTTTAATTATTAAGAAATTCGAGTTCGAGATTTGAAAACATAATGTCCGAGTTAATTCGTGCATTTCTCAATCAGTTTTATAAAAGTATATGTTATCTTCTATCAATATAAATATCAGGTAATCGTATCCATCATAATTCACTGAGAAATCATCATATTCCTTCATTAATCGTTTTAGACTACGACCTCCTTGGATGCTTCCTATGAGTCTTTATAGATCGAATCGTTTTTAATAGAAAACGTTTTATCTCTAAACTCTCTACCACACATATCTTAATAAATCAAATTTAAATGAATATCGAATATTAAGATAAAACAATAAACCATATTGTGGCAACATCACATGTTCAAGAATGTCAAGACAGGTAATATGTTAGGTATGTTTGACAAATATAATTGTTTGTTTTCAATACATTTTAGGGTCCCACTTGCTACTATACTATTATTATTACTTTCATATCTTAGTTAAATAAATAGTAGTTAGAAATATGAAAATAACTTGGATAGAAATATTAAACTAAGATTCACTTTATTATTTGATCTAAGATTGATATGAAATGTATTAAATAGCTCATATCATGTGTAGGTATTGAGTTAGGTGTTTTTGTTGATTTTTAGTCATTACATTATTGTGTTTAGTATACTTTAATCTTGAGTTTAGTCAGAGATGAATTATTATTTTAATAATAGAGTCAACTAATCTAAGCTACAATAAGTCAATTTATGACAATATATTCAGTATAATTTGATAAGTAAAAATATGAAAAGAGTAATGTATATATAATTTTATCACATTTAGTGAAAGGTAGAAAGATTATTTCGGATATATAAGACGATTTGTATGTAAAAGTGAAATTTTGAATCCATTTCTTATTGAAATTGACGAAACCTGACTACATTGAAAGCAAGGGTATAATTCATTACGTACAAATAAACTCATAGTCAACAAACTCGAATCGACAAATTTGGTTAGACAAAGTATAGAGATTCAACATCGATTACTAAATCTTACTTCATTTTTGCACACCTCAATTTACGTCATCGAATACATGTTGTATCTCACTAGCATAGATAATTCGTAGCTCTACTCATCAAGACTAATCTCTGCCGACAATTAAACTCCTCTTCAAAATCTTTACTCATTTCATTAATTACAACAATAATAATACCCAGTAAAACCTTACTAGGATGAGTAGAAGGTATAAAAATCTTACAACTAAATCGTGGAGATGGTATTACTGGATTGACCATCATGTCATATTTTTGAATATTTATCTGATCTACAATTATCTTTTAAATAACATGATAGTATAACTAATTAACTATCATTATTTTGCGATTATACCTATAATTATCTTTTGAATAATATGATATTATTTATAAAATATAAAGTCCTATACTTTTCCAATTTCCAACCAAAAAAGATGGATGTAGGGACTAGGGAGGAATATGAGGAAACTTCTCCTAGTTTTAATAGAGACATGCTATAACATAAATTAATTAAAAGTTTGTTAAAGAGGGGACAAATAAAATAAAAAAAATTAAGAATATAATTTAGTTGCTAACCAGTAGTAATTATCCTTACTCTTATCTATAAAAAAAACACCATTAATTTCCATTACATCAGGAGTTTGACCCAAAAAATCACATGTCATTATCATGAAATAAATTGATTTATTTTTTTCTTCTTACAATTAATTCTTTATCACATCAGAAGATATGGTACAATAAATCAAAATAATCCTCACTTAATTATCTCGATTTTAAATTATGAGAATGAAAAAGTCATATATAAAAAATTGCTTTATTCAAATGAGAATTTGAATAAGTTTGAATTTTTAATACTAATATCGAACATCGAACGTGGATAAAAAAAGACATGAATCACCAAACAAAAAATTGACAAGAAGTCCTATAACATGTGCACCACTACACCGTCCAAAGAAAAAAGAAAAAAATAGTTTTATTTAATTCAATATACACCCTTTTAATTTTATTTTTTTTTAAAAAATATTCTTGATCACCCCATGTGAATTTCAACTATATATAATAGATTAATAGCTCAATCAACTCCAACAAAAATATCAAGCAAAAAGATAAAGAATAACATGCTTGACAGCTTAAATCCAGCAAAAATGTTTTTGATTCACAAAAATTGGTTTATCTATTTTTATTCCTTATTTATGGAAAATAACTATTCATGTTGCACCCAAAGGTGTAGTCTAGTTATCACGAAGCGAGTCGAACGAAAATCATAGAAAATCGAGGTTTAAATTCACGTAAAGACAAAAATACAAATACCAAGTAAAGAACGAGTCAAACAAAAATTGAGGTTCAATTCATGCAAAGATAAAAAATACAAGTATTCAAGTAAATAATCGAGGAACATATAAAATTAGCCTTTGGAAACAATCTCTCTACCTCCACCTCCACGAGGTAAAGATATAATCAACATACATTTCACCATCTTCAGACCCCACTTGCGGGATTTCGATAAGTATTGTTGTACACATACGCAAACTAGCCTTATTTAAAAAATAATAATATCTTTTGTGTAGGATTACACTCCATATCCACCTGTTTACACACTTAAGTGGCACAAATAATGAAATCTTGTAGTGAAAAACTTAATAAGAAGAGTATATTTTGCATGTTTAACACAAGAACTCAAATCTATTTACATCAACTATGAAAGATTAAAAGAATTTAATACAATTTTTCTCTAACCAAACCACAAATAAACTCTTCTAGCCATCTTGGCTTCTTTGGTCTCTAATGATCTATCACCAAAAGGGTTATGAAAAGACGAAGTAAAATGCGTTGTTAAGACGAAACCAATTGACCGAATGGATTGTGTACCTTCCTTGATTGTTGCCCTAATGTCATCTGCAATCTGTTGAATTGAAAGTATCTGCAAATCCGGAAGGTTTCGAGGGTATACTTGAATGTGTTTGACTGAAGGAGATGTCATCGAACATTCTTGAAGTTCCTTCATCAGCTTGCCATCTTTGAAGGATTTGAGGAAGGCTCATTTGAAGGTCGATGCCACTGTCCTCGTCTTCATTTCTTGTAGGCTTCCACAGTTCTACGAGGGGGGCAAGGACATTGACTGCATGTCCCATGTCAGGGCGTTGGAATGGTTCTCGTGCAGTGCAATGGCCTGCTAACTCGGCAACCTTACAAATGCTCTCATATGTTTCCTCGTCAGGATCAAGAGTTGGGTCAATAGCCTTTCGGAGGTTGTCTTTGTTGACAAGGACCCTGCGAAGCCAGGTGACCAAATGAGACCTCTCGTCTGGCAAGGTCTCATCTAATGCTTTTCTACCAGTGATGATCTCCATTAGAACAACTCCAAATGCATACACATCTACTTTGGTCGTGACTCGTCCAGTAGCTGTAATAAAGAGGAGCAGTCAC